TGGAAGCTTCTGAGTTTTCTCTGGATAGACTTGTGCGCATTAAACTTGCTCAACGCTGCCCTTAACAGTGGCATGCTCGCTGAAGTAGCGTTTGCGTGTCTGGTGGGCAGCCTTCGGATCATTGTTTCAGGCTCGGGAGTCACGCGCACCATTTTGGTTGCATGAACTGGACTTCGCCAGGTGCCGTGAACTGCAAGCCCCGGCCACAACAGAATGCAGGCGCGTTGAAGGGCTGCGGGAGGAAGGCATTGGCATTTTTATAAACGCTTCACCAGTCGAATCTAGGAAATTGGTGAGGAAGTCGCCTCATCCTTGTTGTTCAGTTGCTTGACGGCTTGATCGCTGGCAAACCAAATGGCACACCCAAGGCTAAATAATTGCAGGCATGGGCAATCAGTCGAAACGGGAGAGCTGTGCAGTATAGGCGTGTCTTAAATTAGGGGCCCCACAAAACTCACTTAGTTTCCCTCAAAAACACAACCCACATATACCGCATATACACACACCTTGACCTGCTTACATATTGACCCGTTGCTCGAGGCATTGACCCCTTGTCAAGGCTAGACAAGACATTCCATCCGGGGCATGAAGTGCGCGAATTAGAATTCCCGGAACAAAAACCAGAGGCTATCCGCGTTCTGTAGGACCTGATCGGCGATCTCAAGCTGTCTCGTTGCCCCTGAGTGAATCGCTCGAGTTTTTTTCTCCTGTCGCGACAGGCGCCTTGGCGATGCGGTGGCACAACTCCAGAGGCCGGGCTTGGACGGCTGTCGACGCAGAAGCTTGACAAAAATAAATGCTGAATCGTCCCGTGCAAAGGGAAGACCACCATCTGCACTTCGCAGGTGCGTTCAAACTGAAGACTCTTCGCCATTTTCTTTTGCACAGAGTGGAGCTCGCAAACCAGTCCTCGTGCAACACGACAGTACATGCTGGGCTGGTGTGTTCTATAATTTTCTGCGTTGTTGTCCACTTTCATTTCGAGAAGCAAGCCAGCAAGCAAGCCAGCAGTGCAAGCAACCAAGCAAGCGAGCAGTCAGGTAAGCAAACAAGCAAGCACCCCAACCTTCATCTGAACCCGTCCTAAACCTGCCAGCCCAACCCTAGACCCTTCTTCGCCCACCCTAAGCCTTCCTAAATCCCACTTGAAACCCACCCCAAGAGCTCTGCGTCAGCCCCTTGCCCAACTAACATTACAGAAGGAACATGGGGAATCAAAGGAAGAAGTACTGCAGACAATCCAAGCAGAATCCCTGGAGAAAAAGAGGAAATGACTCACGAAAGGACATACCAGAAGCAAAGTGGAAACACTTTGCAACAAAGTGGGAGAGCCAGAGAAAAGGAGCTAACTCATGATTGCTTAGAATTGCTGTGTCACAATGACATGAACATGTTTCACGAACATGTAGGGGCAGGGGGATCAGCTAATAGTCGGTCATTCGTGTGGATATGTTCTTGGAGTTCTACTTGGTCAATCTATGTTAAGTGCAATTCAAACTTATTAAGGCCAAGTTAGGCAAAACTAGAGCTGAATCAAAGCCTCGAATCAAAGCCTCGCACAGTATGGCTATTGAAATTGTTCAAATGCTTGTTGCAATCAAGCCTCATAAGGCTGAATAGCATACCCCAAATTCAGTGCCTAGTAACTAATCAGTGATACCCTTGATCGCAATATTCTTAAGTTTTAAGTAACTGTCACAGCCAGATGTCAGGCTCTGACTGGGGATGAGTTTCGCTCAACTTATACCACCAGCCCCATGCCCCTCCGTGACGAATGTACCCTTGCGATCCCTTGTGCAGAAGCCTTGTGACTGCCACGCTACTTTCAAGCAGCATACCATTTGTATGCCGTGTTTTTGTTCCAAGGCCTTTCGTGCTGGCCACATCTAGCGCAAAGCCAATGTTAGTTAGCACGCTTGCCGAGTTGTCGACGGAGAGCCGATCAGCTCTGGACTCGGAAAACGCGTTGGGATGCGAGCAGCTCTCGCCTTTGTTGGACAAGTTCCTCACACTTGAATCAAGATGGAGTCTGATGTTACCGTGTCAGAGATCAGGCTGTTCTTGAATCCGCAATTTGCCCAGGAAATGGATGGCATCCGACACATCGTCCCTTTGTAAAGAACAAGGGAAGCACAATCAATTCACCGTAGCCCTCACATCCTCGCCTTGCGCCAAGGTTTTCACTTCAAGCTACGAGATGGTTCTCGCAAGACTGCCAGAGCCTGACACCAGTAGAAACTGCATTGTTTTGTAACGGCTGGCGTATAGTGAGCAACCCTCAGTTAGGTCAACCCTTAAATGACGCCCGCCCATTTCCCAAAAAGTCTCCAAGTGCTAACTGTACCTAGTGGTTGCTTGTACCAAAGGATTGCTACGCACTATCCATTTGAGCTGACATAGGCAACCTTATCCCGTGGGATGGTTGCAGCGGAAGCACTCCTTGATCGATTTGCGAGCTTCGGTTCAAGTATGCCACAATCCATGGTCGGTTGGTCCATTTGGCACTTTCCCGCACATGCTGAGGGGCCTCGTGAATTTTCATGTCCACAGCATATTCCAACCGTAGCTCGGACTTGTGTGGTGGATATTCGGTTACGACCGAGCGCCGCATAGGTTTGCGTGCCCTCCGGCACCACCGTGTTAGAAGCGGCCCATCAAAATCAGGCCGGGAGGCGAAGGCAACGGAAGCATCCCACGGGACAAGTCGCAGCATGGCGAAAGGGTGTGGTGGTTCTTCGCATGGCGCTCTCCCGTTGCCCTCGTGCTTTCAGTCCTCAACTCACAGAGTGCTAATGTCATTGTCCAATTGATTCCAATTGTACTTGCATTCATTATAGAAAGGAGTTGGTTCTAGCAACGGCCGTTTTGCAGCTGGCCGTGCCATACTCGCGAGGCAGGCAGTTGCGAGCCCAGAGATCATAGCCTTAAGACCAAGCACTCCCAATTTGTTGCGTCTTGACTTCCTATCAACATGGGCCAAATTTCTCTCATTTGGCCAAGCAAACGCGCGAGCAGGACAGACAGGACGCTTCCATGTGCATTTGTTGGATGGCGGGGGGGAGCCTCAGCTTCTCAATCGATACCGTCGAATGGAAGTTGGAACGCTGCACAGCTTACAGTTCACCAGGTAAGACAAGAAGACAAGCATTGAAGGCCCTTTGCTGTACCAGGGAAGTCTTACGGGTTGGTGGCTTGTGGTGATCAGACCCCTTGAGGCACCCGCGGCCTCTGAGAGAAACGGCGGTATGCATGCGCCGCTTTCCAATTTTCTGTCGAATTTCGCCCAAGTCATTCAGAATGATCCAGAGTTCCTCCAAATCTGGTTGAGTTGTCCCAGTCTTTCCGAGGCCGGATCTTTTTTTGTTGGTCCAAACATGGCGACGGGAGGTGGACCTGGAGGGCGCCTGCGAGGCGTCTTTGGCATGCTCCACCTGCCACGTGATCCTCACACCGGACTGCCGGCCGGCCGTTTCCCTAAGTCGGAAGGGTGGTTACTGGAGTGGAGTGTGTGTGTGTGTGTTGTGTTTGTTTTTTCGCTCATTTGGCAGGGGTGGTTAGAGCTGGACGTTGTGAAGGTCCCTGCCCTCAGTGTGGGTCCCTTGGTGAGCAGGAGGGCGGTGGATGGTGCCCGTGGTTGCAATCACGTCACTGCCAAAGGGTCCCCGCAAACTCGAGATGCAGCTTTGACATTGCGGTCGTAAATCGCGTAGCTGATCAGCAGAACGGTTTAGCCCAATTTTCCGCAACTTGGCAGGCTTATGTCTATTTGCCTAGAAACCTGGTATGGCCACAAACCGGTTTGGTTGGATGTCATGCGTTTCCGCCGAGATTCTTAAGCCTTTCCCCTAGAGCGCTCGCATGTGAGCTGTCTTGCTTTGGGCTCCGTTCCGCGCATGTCCAACTCGAGTTTTGCCACAGGAGAACTACGACCAAATCGAAGAGCCCTGCGAAAAGGAGGAGGATCGCAGCAAAGACCTGCTCCCGCAATCGAAAGCCCAGCAATAGGTCGGGTACCGCGAGTCAATGAAATGTGGCGTCTTTTTCTGCGAACATGTACAGTAGAAGCTGTGCTCATAATCAGAAAGGGGTATATATTTGACGAGCTCGTTCGTGGATCGATCCGGTCTCACAAGCAAATGCTTCAAGCACCAAATGCTGAGATGACTTCTGTAGCGGATGAGGTACTGCATGTGGGAAATTGCCTGTGGTTGCGTCAAATCACAACGTGGAGCTGCTATAGCAACATGTGTCTCGTGGGTGTGTCCTAAAATAGGAGACCCCCCAAAACTGGTGGTTTTTCCTTTTGGATTCCCCTATAAAGGCAGCGAACCAGGGTTAGGTTTGTAGAAGTGGAGAGTTCTGGTTCAACATCCGGCATGATGGGAAACATGACAGGGATGGAATGGGGAATGAATTCCGCTGATCGCTCGTTATAAACAATAGTATGCATATATTATTATATTTTATTAGATATATAGGTTTACAGCGGCTTACGACATAGTGTTTCACAGACAGTAGTCAGCAGAGATTCCATTCGTCTCACTGCATATATCCGCACGAGGCATTGCGTCGCAGTCATTGACAAGTGACCGAAACGTAAATGGATGGCAGCGGTCCGAAGTTCGTAAAAGCGAACAATGGTGAGCGGCTTGACTTGTTGACAAAGGCACACGTCCACATCAAGCAAACATTGCCCAGCATCATCTGTTTGGGAACTCGCTTGATCACTAGTTGTCGTTTTGTTGATTGATATTTTTGGTCAGGCTGGAGCAGTTCACTGTGGGTGCACACCAACAGCGGAAAGACCCATAAGACATGTTCATACTTGATCCATGTTCTTGAGTGTTTCTGATTGTTCCCTTGTGTTTGATCAGCGACATGTTGCTGTGGATTGGGTATTTGTCAATAGAATGTACACGTTGACTAGCTTAGTTCTGCTTTGGGATGTGCAGATCCCAAGTGCAGGCAGCCTTTAGACTGCTAGTCAAATGCAATCGCCTGCCTTGAGGATAACTACAATGCATATGCACATGAATCGCCACATTTATGAGGACAATACACATTTTTTTGGTCAGCTCTTGAGTGTTGTGATGTACAAGTGAGTTTAGAAATTTCGGAAAAGCCCCAAAGGCGAGCGACCCCTCAGTCACGGAGCTCCGCTGGAGCGAGGACCTTCTGGACTTGGCGCCCTGCCTGACACCCACCTCCCGGCTGGCCTGTCAGGCAGGATGCCACGAAAACCGAGTCATTTTGCTGCTCGAGTCATGTCGCCAGAGCCTTTGCAATCAAAGCTATATGTTTGTGTAGTGTAGGAATCGCAATGAATCGCATGTTGTTGCCAAGGAAACATCATGATAGTCTCCTGGCCTTGCCGTGAAAGAAGCCACTTTGAGAAGCTGGTGCTCGAATTCATGCCTTGACATCAGCGTTGGTGCTTGTGTTTCTGACGCCGGCGCGCGGGAGGTGGTGGTTGATGAGCGCCTGAAGGATAAGGAAGTCACCCTGCCGGCCATGACCGTAAATTTTTATGCCCGGGGCCTCAAGCTTGAGGCGTGAGGGGCGCTCTCGAGGCGTGGGCGGGACTTACGGAACGAGTCGACTTTTGCAGCACATGTTCTACGCCTTGACTTTGAGTCACACATAGACTTGGAATTTAGACCCTGTTCGCAACGTTGCCTTCAAGGTAGCAAAAGCTGCTCGCAGCGCATGGGTCATCCTCATACGCAGCCACAAATTAACATCTTCCCAAACTCTCGCGAAGCCCTACCATGTGAGGTACATGGTGTGCTTGCTGGTTTTCGGAAGAGAATCAACAGGGGTGTTGGGAATGAGCCAAGGGATTCCCTTAAAGGAGACAGACCAGCGCCTTGCTTGCACGTGACTAGGTTTCTATGTTTGAAGGGTCGCTTTGTTCTGATCACATGTGACCTCGTTGAAACTCTGTATGTGTTCACAGTTGTCCAAGGGGCAAGAGGTTGCAAGCGAGCAATGCTCGATGTGAAACTCCCCCAATTGCAGCCCCCAACCACACCACTGCTTGTTAAACAGAAGATTCTTGACACGGGACAAAGCAGGGAGGGTGCCGGTATTTTGGTTCTAAAGCGTGATGTTCACTGGTCGCAGAGCCACTTTCTTGATCGTGGCTTTCGAGGCAATGGGGGCCCCTATCTTTGTAGCTGGTTTAAAGATCACTTTGTCGGCCAGCCCCTTTCGTTCGCGCCGAGGTAGATGGTCATGTGCCAACGCCGCATTGATGCAGACGGCTGATACCCGATGGCTTGTGCCGAAGAAATGGACTGGTTCCATGCTGCCTGAGATTGTCAATAATATAATATTATATGTTCCTTTCGGCCAAAATATAAGTGGACATATGGTTTGATGTTGAAAAATAGAATTGTAAATGGAATATTGTTTGAAGCAAATAGTAAATGAGTTACATTAGCAATTGATCTGCGTATGCCCACAATGCATACACATCTTATGCTAGATCCGCCATATTCCTCTATCAATCGGTGATCCCGCGGCTTCGGATTGCGTCGCGAAGCCTGTCGTCGATTCGGGGTTGTGCAGCATCTGCTCCTCGGCCGGCGCAAGTCACGCACCGAGACGATTCCGCCACCTTTTTGAGGCGCCTGTAAACCCCTCAATTTTCGGGAAGATTTTTGGGGACTTATATCTGGATATTCCCGATTTTTTGGGGGGTTATATTGGTGGTGGAAGCGAGTACCGGCCCAAATTTCTCGAGAATTTGGTGGTCTTATACTAACATAGCCGCAAAGGTTCCCTACATGTTTTGCGAGTTCTGCAATTTCAAGAAAGTTCCGGGCCCCCAAATTCGGAAACATTGGCATGCACGATGGCATCTAGCTCAGGGTTGCGGGCGACCACCAGCTCGCTCGTTAGCCACGGATCAAATCGGGCACATGTACATGTGTACCATATGTAGAATATATATATATATGTATATGCTGCCCAAGACACCTTTGCGCAGCAAATACCACGAACAACTGTGCATGTGGGATACATATGTATATGTCTAACTACTACATATTTATTGTTCAAGCATCAACCTACCAGTAGAGCCGGCGAAGCCGGTCGGAAGTTTCAAAATACAAGAACTATAGTTATTGTTCCCTTCCTTGTGTTGATTCTCTTTGCTGTTCGCGTTTTTTTTTTTTTTTTGTTTCACTCTCTCTCCCTCTCCGTGTCCGTTTTTGTCTGTGTCTGGTTTTCTTTCTCTTCTTTTTATTTATCTTTCTTTTGCTCTTCTTTTTCTTGCTCGTTCTCTTCTTTGTGGATTGTTTTTTTTTCTTTTCCTGTCTCTTCCTCTTCCTCATTATCTTATGTGTCTCTTTCTTTTTCTTTTTTCTGGCTCTTTCTTTGTCTCCTCTCGTTCGTTCCTGAATGCCTGCTTGTCGAAAAAAAAAACACTTAGCGTAGATCATACTGTGTCGTTATCTTTATCTTTCTTGTTCTGTTTGGCTATCTAGCTATCTAGCTATCTAGCTATCTAGCTATCTAGCTATCTAGCTATCTAGCTATCTCGCTATCTCGCTATCTCGCTATCTAGCTATCTAGCTATGCAAATCTAAACTAAACTTACCTATATTTATGTGTTTATCTATCCATCCATCTGTCTATCTATTCACCTGCCTATCTACCTACCGCCCTACCTCCCTATCTGTCTGTCTATCCATCCAACTATCTATTTAGCAATCTATCTATTGATGGAGATCTAGAAATGTATCTAGCCTGTCTACCTGCCTACTACCTACATCTATCTATCTATGAATCTATCTATCCATTTGGGTGTCTACTGCTTCTATCTACGGGTCTTTTTATCTGCCCATCGATTGATCTATCTGTTGATCTGTCATGATCTATCTATCTGTCTGTATATCTACCTATCTGTGCACCTATCTGTCTATCTATCTACATTGGTATTTATCTATGAATGTATTTATTTAGTTGTTTGTTTGTCTGTATCTATCCATCCAGATCTAGCATCTGTCTATCTCTCCACATCTATCAATCAGTGCTCCGAGAGTGCTGCGCCTGCCAAGAAATCTGTACTTGCAATTGCGACAGGGCTGCGCCTGCGATTGCTGTTGTTGTTGTTATTGCCACTGCTACTCTCATAAACCATTATCAGCCATTATTCTTGCTACCACTAATCATTAAAACAACAGAAAGGGACCCTGTGAGCGTTGGGTTTTTGCACACACCGAATTTTGCTGCATTCTGGCCAAAACCGAGGAAAAAAAGGATTCTGGGACAATGTGCTGCTATCATGCAAACAGTTCTCCACCTTACCCCCCCCTTGCAGATGTCAGGCTCCTGTCCAAAACCGAAAAAAACATCGAGAAATCGAAAGATTCTGGGACAATGTGCTGGTATCATGCAAACAGTTCTCCACCTTACCCCCCCCTTGCAGATGTCAGGCTCCTGTCCAAAAATCGAAAAAAACATCGAGAAATCAAAAGATTTTGTCCAAAACCAAAAAAAACCTCGAGAAATCGAAAAAAAACCCAAAAAAACCAAAGATTCTGGGACAATGTGCTGGTATCATGTAAACATTCTGTTGGCCAGATTGGTTTTTTTGGTTTTTTTCGATTTCTCGAGGTTTCTTTCGGTTTTGGACAAAATCTTTCGATTTCTCGATGTTTTTTTGATTTTAGATGGTTTCTTTCGAATTCTCAATGTTTTTTTGATTTTGGACACCTTCTTTTGATTTCTCGATGTTTCTAAGGCTGCCTGCAGCAAAAGCTTCAACACAGGACAGCTTTGCAAGGAAGAGCTTAGAAGGCTTGCTGCTCTGGTGTTCCAAAAAACTTCTTTACGCTGAACTGTTTCTTCTCTAAACTAGCTGGGCTGGGCTGGGTGCAAGCTTGCTGGAAGCTAAGGACTCTGCCGGGCTTGCTGTCACCTGAAGCTGTGTTGTCGGGCTGGCCACACCTTTGGTTTTCTTGTTGTTTGGTGTTTGGAAACAAGGAGATAGAGCCTGTGCTATCTAACAGGGTAGTTCCATACCAGAGGCAGCAGCAGAGCAAGCTGCAGAAAGAAGCTGCACTGGTGAAGTCAGCTTACCTCCAGAAGCTAGCAGAGCTGGACAAAGAAGACCCAGAAGAAGCTGTAACAGGCAGACAAGGTGGCAGGCCTCCAGTTCTGGAAGAGCGTAGAGGAACTGCAGGTGGGCAGTTAAGCAACAGGAAGAAGGAGACAGATCCTTCCAGGAAGCAAGAGCTTTTTGCCTTTCAGAAGACGAAGCTCAGTGAAGAGACTCAAATGATTCTGGAAGAGTCTCAGCCTCAGAAGCAGAAGCTTGGGCAGTTGCAAGGAGAAAGTTCAAGATGAGCACACAGAGGCTCGAAGATTGGAGGTTTGCCAGAGCAGCTAGTGGAGGGAGAAAGAGAGTTTAGCAGAGAGATCTCTCAACTTGGCAAGTGGTTGCAGAAAGAAAGGAGTTATAGCCACAACGTTTCAAAGAATGAGCTGCTGAAAGAGTTCTTTGCCCTTCTGGTTGCAAGGGCAGAGAGATGCATGGTCAGGGCAGAGCTTTGCAGAAATGAGATGCAAAGGAAAGCTTGGCTGAAAGAAGCTGACTGTGCCCTGCAGAGAAAGACCAAGCTCCAGCAGAGCTCAAAGTATGCAGCTTCTTATGTAGAGAAGCTGATCCAATGGCCAGGTGCAGCTTACTTGAGCAAAGATCAGACTACTCGCCTGGCACCAGTTGAAGAACAGGCGCGGGCCCAGCTCACCTTCCAGGATATTGACAGAAAGCTCTGGCATCTAGGCGCTTGCTCCAGTTGCTGAGATTGAAGATGCACATTTGGTTGCAGATGCAGAGATGATAGTTAAGAAACGATCCTCACTGGTAATCGGCACGAGTGATCAAGTCCCACTTTGGGCCAAAGATCCAAGCAAGAAGTTTGTCTTCTCTGCAGATGAGCTCAAAGGTGCCAGTTGGGACGACAGAAAGAGGTGGACTGAGATCAGGTAGGAGCTGAAAGCTGCTTAAGTTCAGGCAGCTGAAGAAGGTTACCAGCTTGTCAGTTGGGCAGATGTAGGAGCAGGGCCTCTCAAAGTTGCAGGTAATAAGGTGATGACAGGACAAAGTTCAGATGAAAAGTTTCGTTTAACATACGAAGCTTGCCAGAAGATTTACAACATAGGAGCTCCAGCAGGAACAGCTCTGCAAGGCGACTACTGCGGCGCAAGGTCGGCATAGGTAGCCATCCACGATCTCCTTGAGATCCTCGTAGGTCATGTCTTCTGCTGCAAGTGCCATCTTAGCCCAGAGTGGAGGGTGGGACGACTCAGTGCAGGATGCAGATGGATGAGATGCTTTCTAGCTGGCCAAAGTTGCAGCGCAGATCGCGGTCAGAGGATATATACACACATAACTGCACACAACTCCCCAATTCGGAAAAACACTCGTTTCACATGGAAAATACCCACGCTGAGGGGGTCCCCCTCTCTAAAACAAATGGTGTCAAAAACCATCAAGTTATAGTAGCTAAACACCCAACTGGATAATGGTAAACAAATAGGGGGACGGGGGGGGGGGGTGTTACCCGCAAACCATGATGTTTCCTATTCAAATAGATGATTTTGGGTGCTTTTGGGGTACGCCTATTTTGAAAATACTCGCTTGTTGAGCAGGTTCCCCATCGGCGTTGGATCAACACCAAACACCCGAGTAGGTTGGCATTCATATCCCAAACGGTCGGACTCTTTGATTGCTATCACGGAGGTTTGCTCACCGCTCACCGCTGACCGAGGAACCGTAATTTGTTCACTGACAGCCATCTGAGGCTGAGGTCCTGTTTGATTTGCACACCAAGCATGCCACCAAGCGTAAATTGTTTGCAAAAAAGTAGATTGTTTGCGTATGGCCCTTCCCTGGGCGCAGAGTAGGAAAGGGTGGCAGGCAGCCAGCGTGGAAATTCTGGATGGTGGCTAAACGAGGACATCTTTATTTGAATAGTTGGGTTGCCATCTTGAATTGAGTAGATGGGGATTGTTATGACCCACTTTGGAACTACAATGAACCAACTAGTATAAAGTTATGACAGTGGGCACCCTGGTTTGGTTTACTGACCCCAAACTCATCAACGATGGTTGGTCAATTACAATGGTTCGGTTCACTAGGTTTGGGGAGGTAGCCAACGATGAAGAAGCACATGGGGTCATGACCAAGCCAATTGCGAGGGCCGAATATTCCAAAACCGCAGAGCCGTGGCTGGTTCTTCTGGAACTGCCAGCCCTTAGACAACATCTTAAGAGCCACCTCTGAGTCCACTTTGTTGAAGTCTTTGACAACGAAAATGGCCCTACAAGGTGTAGCAATTGTTTAGAGTGGTACGGCTGGTGGAAAGAATGGGGGAACAAATCCAGATTTTCTCAACAGTGACAGTAACATATTCCTCACGATGATGTTTGTGTACTAGCACGCTTCCTCGGGCTGACTGGCCCCCATTGCTTGAGAGCCCATGTTTGGTTCAAAGATTGGGCACAAGTACCTCGCGTGCATGTTGTGATGAGCAAATTAGCTGGTGAAGAGTTTTCTACCCTTGGACGAGCCACACTAGGCAACTGCCCCAGGGCCCGTGCCGCCAGGACATTTAGAATATGTTTTGCTGACTCTGGGGGCTTCAGGTGAGAGCAGGGTCAAACAACTCGGGGTAGTTCGATCTAGGGGTAACTGTTCTATGGTACAGTATCAAGTTCCATCACATTGGATTTTCTACCAGGTGGCTTCACAAGTGAAAGAGTGAAAAGTGTTTGACACGGCTCAGGTGTTTTGAATGCTGGAACAACCTCTTAAACAGCGGTCTCACATGTCGCCATGGCCTTGTCGCGTCGACGGTGGCTGGCTCCACGTGGCTGGAAGCGTTTGGCGAAGCTGCAGCAGTTGAGTCGCTGGTTGAAGCAGGTGAAGCTGAAAACAGAGAGGACGGCCAGTGGCAAAACTCCCAGAACCTTCAATTCAAAGGCCTGGCAGGTTTGGCGGGACAGGGAAGCGGATGGCACGTTTTGCTCAGAGAGAGACTTTCCAAAGATGGAAGATCGGAAGCCAAGCCCAAAGCATGGTGCTTTGGAAATGCCAGCTCTACAGCAGAGCCAACAGCATGCTGCTTTGGAAACGCCAGCTCTACAGCCAAGCCCAAAGCATGGTGCTTTGGAAACGCCAGCTCTACAGCCTTGCCCAAAGCATGGTGCTTTGGGCACGCCAGCTGTACAGCCTTGCCCAAAGCATGGTGCTTTGGAAACGCCAGCTCTACAGCCTTGCCCAAAGCATGGTGCTTTGGGCACGCCAGCTGTACAGCCTTGCCCAAAGCATTGTGCTTTGGAAACGTCAGCTCTACAGCCGGAAGCGCCAGCGTGTCCTGTCCGCTCCGTTCCATTTGGGCCTGTCAATTGTCTATGGTTCACAAATGGAGGATCACCACAAGGACAACAGAGAAGAAGCCCGGTGGCAAGTTCCTGGGGTTCAATGACGTCGATGCCTCGGATAGCTGCAAAGAATATAGGATGCCAAGCGGCGCCTCAAATTGCGTCTGCAACAGTGCGTGCGCCAATTGCGCCGGGGGGGGTGATACAACCAGTCTTACTTGGAGCTTCAGCGAAGTCAGGCAGGACTTCATGCATTCCAGGTGTTTTAGCTGGGCATCAGGAGCTGCTTCAAAGTCACGCTGCAGCACCTCCACCGCCTCCACCACCTCCGCCTCCACCGCCACCGGTTTGCCCACCCGCAGCGACTGTGCAAGTTCAACACAGTCTGTTGCAGAAATCATGTCCAGCAGTTTACATTCTGGATGCAATGAACATCTTGAAGCATCGTAACCAGCCGGAACGTAATGACGGTCATCTTCGATGGCGACAGCTTCATTCAGCCGCAGAGTACTACCACAAGGGTGGAGGCGGTGGAGGTCGTATCTTGATATTCATTCCACAGCTTCGCTCAGAACATTCGGAGCCGCTTCAGCAACTGCAGCGGTGGTTTGGAGATGAATGCGTTGTGTCGACCCCTCCGAAGGTGGATGATGATACTTTTATGTTCAACATGGCAGTGACAAACAGACAGAATGGGATTCCGACACGTATTGTCACGAACGACCACTTCAACGACCACCTGAAACAAAACAAATTAGGGGTGAACTTGGAAAAACTCACTGTAAAGTACGTAATGGTTGCTGGTAGATTTATTCCGCAAGATCTATAGAAATGAATGGAATAAATTAAGAAACAATAATATATATCATATAATATGTGGTATTAAATTCGGAATTGAAACATATTATATTTAGAAATTGATGAGGTTTTTATAGGTTTGAGAAGAATATTAATAATTTAATAATTATTGTATTATTATGATTTGGAAAGAATTATTTGTTTTGTTTTGAATATATATGGTTTGTGGAAGAAAAACACAATAATTTGGCTTTGGATGAATTATTTGGAATTATGTATTTTTAAAAATGATTGGAAATAGATACAAATCAAATTATATATATATATATTTACTCTATAAAACGAAACCGTGAAACTTGCTCGTCGCACTTGCGCGCGTTTTCCCGGACCGCTTTTCCGAAAATTGGTTTGGATTGCCCCTGGAAGATGTAACCGCTTCATATTTCCTACGGACCGCTTGCCTAAATTTGTCCGGGCTACCCCGGCATATGTGCGGAAGACATAGTGGCTTCATTTTTTGTAGGGACCAATTTCCCGAAATTTCCCGAAATATTCCAGATATTTCGGGAAAGCGGTCCGGGAATCGCAGCCATCCACCATTTTCTCGAAATATTCCGAATATTTTGGGGACCATTTTCCCGAAATATTTCAATTATTTCGGGAAATGCTGTCGTCAAAATATCCGGAATATTTCGGAATTTTGGTCTGGAGTGCGACTATCGAAATATCCGGGATATTTCGGACAAATGGTCCGGGCTTTGAACGCAGCCGTTATGTCTTCCAGATAAAGAGTCGGGGCATATATCTGCCTGTCCGTAGCAATTTTGGCTGAAATCTTGGCCCATCTTCCGAGAGTTTGGCGATGCGAGAAGCTGTGAGTCGCGGCCGATTGTTGCGACCAGTTGTGCTTTTCCCAATGTTTTGGGCGAAATAAGTTCGGCTTTGCTTGCACCCAGGCTATTTTCTAGTCGATCGCGTTTTCTCTTGCGCTTGCAATCACTGTGTATGTGGATGATTCTTTTGAGGCCAACACCCCCGCGGATCCGTTCTCACCTTGCTCAGGCGACAGCTTTTCACTAACTCTTTGGCGCGACCTTATCGCGACTAGCCCGGCCCTCAGTGCATCTCGCGACCTGGAGAATGGCAGCATGCTTTTCGCATGCGACGAGTATACATTTTTTGATATATATGAGATGATAAAGATGCCTGAGTTGCAAAAAATGTCTTGCCGGCGCGGGCTCTATAAGATTTTCTCTGTTCTTGGCACACCCACCACGGCCTGGACCTTGGCCCCTGAGAGCTTGGCCCTTTTTTGGCACCCGCCTCAACTTACCCCTAATTGCTGGTTTGGATTGGTGGTTTGGGGATTGAACCCCTGGATCATGTTGAAGTTGAATGGGAAACCACCCCCTAATTAACCTCCAAAACGCCGATCCAAACTTCCAATCCAAATCGGGCAAAGAGGCCGCCGAAAACCTGCAACCACCTCCTGGCCGCAGGCCAGAATACAGCCGTCGTGGAGGGCAAGGAGAGCGGCGGGGCAGCGCCGAGACAAGCGCGTGACAAACCGTTGCCAGGCGACAAGCGGCCAGCGGCCGCGTGCAACTGGGGCGCGCAGCCGAGAGCTCGCACGCGCGTTCTTGCAGCCCGTCTGCATCACAGCTCTCGGGCTCAGAGTCGGACGCGTGCACGAGCGCAGGCGAAGCCTGTGGCATGTCGACATCAGAATCCGGCCCGCTGCGCGCCGCAGACGTGTCTCTTTTTGTCTCTGTCTCTCTGTCGGTGTCTTTCTCTGTCTCTCTTTGTCTGTTGGTCTCTCAGTCTCTGGTATCTGTTTCTTTGTCTGTCTGTCTGTCTGTCTGTCTGTGTCTGTATCTGTGTGTGTCTGTCTGTCTGTGTCTGTCTGTGTCTGTCTCTGTCTCTGTCTCTGTCTGTGTCTGTGTCTGTGTGTCTGTGTCTGTGTCTGTGTGTCTGTGTCTGTGTCTGTCTGTTTGTGTCTGTCTGTCTGTGTCTGTGTGTCTGTTTGTCTGTGTTTGTGTGTCTGTGTGTCTGTGTCTGTGTGTTTGTGTGTTTGTGTGTTTGTGTTTGTGTGTCTGTGTGTTTGTGTTTGCGTGTTTGTTTTTGTCTCTTGTTACTTTTGTTTTTGTCTTTGTTTTGGTTGTGTTTTTGTCTTTGTTTGTTTGTTGGTTTGTTGGTGTGTTGGTTTGTTGGCTTGTTTTTTGTTTTAAATTGATATTATAAAGATAAATTCTTATGAATTTATGAAATTAAATTTATATTGTTTAGGATAATGATTGTGAGTTTATAAAATTTAGGGAATATGTTTTATATTATCGAAAGAATTAGGAACATTTTGATGGAAATTGGAGGATGTTGTGTTTAGGTATGAATAATATTTAAGAATAGGATTTATAAAATATTATGATTTAAATTATTTTGTAAGTATGATTAATTTAATGATAGAGGGTAATGATAGGTTATTGGGACATGAAGCTCGAATATTTTTTGATCGTTGTTATAGGTTTGTTTTGATTTAAGAAATAATTTTAAAGAGGAATGAATGGAATGATTTATTTTAAAATTGGAATCGAATCTTTCTTTTTCGAGGTTTGTATAATGTATTATGGAACGAATATATATGAAGGATATGTTTTGGAAGGTTAGAAAAATATATTTTTTAGACATTTTGTTATTATTTCGATTGAATTATTATGCTTGTTTTGCAAGAATTTGATGATATGAATTGTGTATTTATATATATGTATATTGTAATAATTATATATGGGTATGGCTATTTTGAGCCTATTAGTTTATTCTCTTTTTGTTTAGGCGATTATTTTTTATTGATTCGTTGATATCGGGCACCTGAGACATATTGATATCTTAGGAAATATATTGAGATGTTGTTGAGAAGTTCTATCTATAATTCGTCTTTAGATATTTGGGTCTTTAGAATTGGATTTCCAATGAAATGTAATATGTAATCTTTTGAAGTGTTTTGCTTGGGCAGGGTCTAAGGCAAAGATTCAATTTTGTATTTATTTATTTTGTCGAAATATTCCGAAATCGTTTTTTGTGAAATATTTGCTCGGTCTGCTTATTTTTGTCTCTATGAATATAATCATACATATCTATCTATAAGTATTTAAATTGAAATATATTTTTACCTTCATCTCGCACGCTGCTGGAAAGCGGGCCTCCACTAATATTTTATATTTTTGAATATATCTAAATTTATTTATTTAATTATGTTGTTTAGACACGAAAATTATATTAATTGATTTTAACATTATAGTCCAAACCAAAAATTAAAATGATATATATATATATATATGTTTCGGTTTTTTTGATATTATAAATAAAAATTAATTTATAAGAAATGAACATAATTATTTAATTGTTGTTATGTAAATTAAATAAGATCCGGATTTAACATTGGGCTCGTGTAATTTAAAAAAAACTGATTTTTTTATGTTTATAAAGAAGATATTAAAGGAATTATTTCTTTTGGATATTATGTTGTTTTTTATTTTTTAGATTAGAGGTTTATAATTAGAAGGAAGTTTAAAAAAGATGGAATTTGGTAATATTTAATATAGATTTTGAATATTTAAATTATAATTTTATATTTTTATATTAAATATAAATTGGATAAAAGGATATTTAATTATTTATATATTGTTTTTAATTGATATATATAATATGTTTAATGTTGTTTTTTAATTATATTATATTTTTATTCGATTTGGTATTTACTATTAGGAAATTGTTTTTGAATTATTAAGATTAATTGGTATAATATTTATATAAAAAATCATAATAATTTATTGTAAGCCTTTTGTTTGCTCTTACTCGATATCGAATTTTAATTTTTACGAACGATGGTTTTGTAGGAAGAAAGATTGCTTAGGAATATGGATTATACGTCCAGTCGCGCAAATGCATTATATATTCTTATGGAATAATAATTTTATAGAGATGTTTTTGGAAGGCATTAACAATAATAATAATTATTAGTTGTAATATATTTATTTAGAATACATTTCTCAATTTCTTACGATTTTATTCCGACAATGGCGCAATTGTATGCGGCCGGGCGACGAATTTTCAAGTTTTAATCCATGTATTTGCCGGAGCAGGAAGTTCGATGGGAGGGTTTGAATTGTAAGTCTTATTTTGAGAATAGTCGGTGGCAGGCAACCTGCGCCTTATATGGTGCAGTTGGAAGGTGTTAATTAAATCCCCTCTCGATCGTTTCGCACCAAAGAGGCCTATGAAATGCCGAATTTTCAGATGTCTTAACATA